GGACATGCCGCAACATCGGGAACGTTCTTCTCGCATCTAGCCTGTCCAGTCCCATCAGGATTTTATAACGGCCTATGAGATCACCCCCTCATTGTTCTAAATCCCAGCAAATACGAGCCCAGTCGATCCAGTCTTTCCTCATATGTCAGTCCTGCCGGGACGGGAATCCGTCTGGTGAACCTTCACAGCGCTTCCTCGATAGCTAGAACATCCTTCGTCAGAGCAGGAGACCACAACTGCTCACAGTGCTCAAGGTGTGGCCTCCCCAAGTCCCTGTGAAACTGCAACAAGACATCCTTACTCCGATACTCCAATCCTCTAGCTATGAAGGCCATAATACCATTAGCTTTCCTCACCGCCTGCTGCACCTGCATGTCACCCTTCAGCGACTGTTCCACCATGACACCCAGCTCTCGTAGCACCTCACCTTTTCCTAACCTGCCACTGTTCAGATAATAATCTGCCTTCTTGTTTTGGGGGCCAAAGTGGATAACCTCATGTTGTATTGCGTTTGCCTGCTTAGCCAGCCCTGTCCGATTCACCCTGCATCCTTCCCAGCATCCTCCTGAGTGCTACCCAGCTTAGAGTCGTCTGCGAATGTGGAGATAGTGCCTTCAATTATAGAGTCAGACAGCACGGAAGCAGACCCTCTCGGCCCAACTGGTCCATGCCGACCATAATGCCAAACTAAACTAAACTCCAAGCCTATAATGCTCCAAACCTTTCCTGTCCATGTACTTATCCAAGTGTCTTTTAACCGTTGTAACTGTACCTGCATCCACCACTTCCTCAGGAAGTTTATTCCACACACGCACCACCCTCTGTGTAAACAAAAAAAAAATTTGCCCCTCATGACTTTTTTAAATGTCTTTCCTCTCACCTTAAAAGTACGACCCCAAATCCCCCACCCTAGGGAAAAGACCCCTACCTTATTTCTGTCCCTCATGATTTTATAAACCTCCGTAAGGCCACCCCTCAACCTCCTCCGCTCCAGTGAAAACGTTTGCACCCTTTCTTCCTAACGCAAACCTTCCATACCCGGCAACATCCCAAGTAAATTTCCTCTGAGTCCCTCACCAGCTTATTCCTTTGTCCGAATCGTGAATGGAAATTGTGAGCCCGCTTGTGACTTTGGTGCTTTTTCTTTTCTCTCACTAGACGTACTCGGGACTGTTCTGCGTCGTCATTAACCCGTATAAGAACCTGCCCATCTACACAGAGCAGATCGTGGAGATGTACCGGGGCAAGAAGCGACACGAGGTCCCTCCCCACATCTACGCCATCTCTGAGACGGCCTACCGCAGCATGTTGCAAGGTGAGCTCGCTGTGTCACTGCCTGAAGAGAAACGGTGAGGTTTCTGTAAGATTCCCTCGCCTTGTCGTTCGAAACCCCAGCGAATCTGGTCTTAACACACCCAGTCCGTCTCCGTCCATCAGTCCTGGGAATCGGCCTGGGAAACCCTTCGCTGCTGTCCATCTGGAGCATGAGCGTCCTTCCACGGATACGGAGATCCTCAGAACCACGCACGCAGTACTCCAGGGAGTGGTGCCCTCACCCCCACTCCCCCCTCCAGTCAGACATCCCTGCTCCCGGACTCGAACCCTCTCTGTATGAAGGCCGACGGCCCCGTTTGCCTTCGTCGCTGCCCACCGCTCCTTTCAGCCACCGGTATGCACGGGACCCTCCAGGTCCTTTTCCTGATCCGTGGCTGGGCGGGACTCCTTTATGTGACGGTTTCGTGGGAGTTGGGAGGTTTTCACGCAAACTGTGCCAGGCCCTGATCAGCTTGGAGCACCGCGCGCGCGACATTGAAGGGCTGGGCCACTGGGGTTCGAGGGACGTGAGCACCACTCTGCGACCTGTCTGTTGTGTTAACGTGCAATCCTTACAAAGATGCGAGTGTCGCGGTGGCTCAGCGGTTAGCACTGCTGCCTCACAGCGCCGGGGACCCGGGTTCGATTCCACCCTCTGGCAAATGTCCATAGTACAGAGGTGGTGGTGCTGGACATCCTGAAATGTATAAAAGTAGATCAATCCCCGGGACCTGATTGGGTGTACCTCAGAACTTTGTGGAAAGCTAGGGAAGTGATTGCTGGGCCCCTCGCTGAGATATTTGGATCTTTGATAACCATAGACAAGGTGCCGGAAGACTTGAGGTTGGCTAACATGGTGCCGCTATTTAAGAAAGGTGGTAAGGAAAAGCCAGGGAACTACAGACCGGTGAGCCTGACAGCGGTGGTGGGCACATTGTTGGAGGGAATCCTGAGGGACAGGACTTACACGTATTTGGAAAGGCAAGGACTGATTAGGGATAGTCAACATGGCTTTGTGTGTGGGAAATCATGTCTCAGTAACTTGACTGAGTCTTTTGAAGAAATAACAAAAGAAATTGATGAGGGCAGAGCGGTAGACATGGTCTATATGAACCTCAGTAAGGCGTTCGACAACGTTCCTCATGGTAGACTGGTTAGCGAGATTAGATCACGTGGAATACAGGGAGAACTAGCCATTTGGATACAGAACTGGCTCGAAGGTAGGAGACAGAGGGTGGGTGGTGGAGGGTTGCTTTTCAGACTGCAGGCCTGTGACCAGCGGTGTGCTACAGGGATCGGTGGCGGGACCACTGCATTTTGTCATTTATATAAATAATTCCGATGTGAACATGGGAGGAATGATTAGTAAGTTTGCAGATGACACCAAAATTGGAGTTGTAGTGGACAGCGAAGAAGGTTACCTCAGTACAACGGGATCTTGGTCAGACGGGCCAATGGGACGAGGAGTGGCAGATGGAGTTTAATTTAGAAAAATGTGAGGTGCTGCATTTTGAACAGGCAAACCAGGGCAGGGCTTATACACTTAATGGTAAGGTCCTGGGGAGCGTTGCTGAACAGAGAGATGTTGGGGAGAAGGTACATAGTTCCTTGATAGCTGGGGGTGGCAGATAGACAGGGCGGTGAAGAAGGTGTTTGGTACGCTTGCCTTTATTGATCAGTGCATTGAGTACAGGAGTCTGCAGGGTCATGTTGGAGCTGTACAGGACATTGGTGAGGGCCGCTTTTGGAATACCGCGTTCAGTTCTGGTCTCTCTGCTATAGGAAGGATGTTGTGAAACTTGAAAGGGTTTAGAAAAGATTTACAAGGATGTTGCCAGGATTGGAAAGTTTGAGCTATAGGGAGCTGCTAAATAGGCTGGGGCTATTTTCGTTGGTGTGTCGGAGCCTGAGGGGCGATCTTATAGAGGTTTATAAAATCATGAGGGGCCTGGATAGGGTAAACAGCCAAGATTTTTTTTATCCGGGGTGTGGGAGTCCAAAATTAGAAAGACATAGGTTTAAGGTGAGAGGGGGAAGGGACTTGAGGGGCAACTTTTTCATGCAGAGGGTGGTACGTGTATGGAATGAGCTGCCAGAGGAATTGGGTGGGAGGCTGGTACAGTTACAAGATTTAAAAGGCATTTGGATGGGGACATGGATAGGAAGGGGTTTAGAGGGAGATGGACCAAATGCTGGCAAATAGGAACTACATTTATTGAGGAATCTGGGTGGGCACGCAGGAGTTAGACCAAAGGCTGTGTTCCTGTGCTGTATATCTCTATGACTGTATGACTGTCTGTGTGGAGTTTGCACATTCTCCCTGTGTCTGCATGGGTTTCCTCCGGGTGCTCCGGTTTCCTCCCACAGTCCAAAGCTGATCAGGTTAGGGTGGATTGGCCGTGCTAAATTACCCACAGTGCCCGGGGATGTGCGGGTTAGGGTGGATTGGCCGTGCTAAATTACCCACAGTGCCCGGGGATGTGCGGGTTAGGGTGGATTGACCGTGGGACTATAGCAATTCTATGAGACAGTCTGTTTATGTCAAATAGTTTTTGCCTGGCACCCAGCCCTGCCTGCCACCTCTGGGTGGTTCCCTGGGCCCTTTTGAAGGGCGCCGGAGTAGAGCGGCCCTGTGACCGAGGCGCTTCGGAATGCGGCCCTCCCTCTCCCTCAGCTCGGCCCGCTCCCCTACCAGTCTTGTGCCAAGCAAGTGCCCCAGGGTCAAGGCAGGGGCAGGGCTGGCTGAAGGAATCTCTGGATTCTACCTGCAGGCTCATTCCGCCGCATGACACACTGTGACTTATCAGCGTCGGCACACCTAGTGCTGTGATCCTCACCCGTTCGTGTCAATGGAGTTTAAGCTGGCAAACCAGCTTGACTGGGTCTTCGAGATTCCCGCCCACCTACGGGCAACACTCGTGACTTCAGCTTCGATAGGAAATGCAGATAAGGCAGAAGGTTGACCCCTCGAGGAGTCACCTGGGGACAGGGAATCGAACTCTCGGTCAATGAGGGAGGTTTTACGTGGGTCGGGGAGAGAGAGACTGAGGGTGAAGGTTTGAGGCACGGCCCCGGTTGGCAGAGCGAGGGGCATCAGTTGGCCGGGGGGGGGGAACGAGAGGCCTGGTCGGAGGAAAGTAGCGATCGCGGAGGGTCATGGAGGGTAACGGAGATGGGGAGGGAGGGATTTGAACAGGAGGGTGAGGATTGTAGGGGGCTGGAGGAGGTGACGGAGATAGGGAGGGAGGG